CAGACAAAATATTTTTTGTTAAATGTTCCAAGAATCGTGGGCTAAAAACATAAAAGGGATACATTGCCGTATTTGTGTGTATGGCTACCAAGGGCATTCATCTAGAAATGGTAAGTGATTTAACCTCGGATGCATTTCTACCAGCCCTAAGAAGATTTATCGCTAGAAGAGGAAAAGTTGCCAATATCTATTCAGATAACAGAACAAATTTCGTAGGAGCTTCAAGAAAGTTGGATCAAGAGTTCGTTAAAGCAATCAAAGAAAACACATTGATTGCCGCGCAGCTTGAAAAAGATAGAATTGATTGGCATTTTATTCCCCCGCCAGGACCTCACTTCGGAGGTATTTGGGAATCTGGAGTTAAATCCATGAAGCACCATTTGAAACGGGTAATAGGTGAAAATAGTCTGACATACGAAGAGATGTCAACATTTTTATGTCAAATTGAAGCATGCCTGAATTCAAGACCGTTGTATACTTCTGAGAATGAAATGGATCAACATGAAGTATTAACTCCAGGTCATTTCTTGATTGGTAGACCACCGTTAGAGATTGTTGAACCAATTGAAAACGGGAAAATTGGTAATTTAGATAGGTGGAAATTAATCCAAAAAATTAGAAGAGACTTCTGGGTTAAATGGAAAGAGGAGTATTTGCATACTTTACAACAAAGAAACAAATGGAAGAGGGAAAGTCCAAATATAGAGAATGGACAAATTGTTTTGTTGAAGGATGAGAACAGTCATCCAGCCAGGTGGCCAATGGGAAAGGTAGAAAAAGTCCATAAAGGTAAAGACGAAAAGGTTAGAGTGGTAGAAGTGAAATTACAAGATGGATTTATCACTAGACCGATAAGCAAGGTTTGTCCCTTAGACGGAATAAATTCTGTCGATAAAATGGAATCTGATCCCGAAGAGACAAAACCGAAAAGACAGACAAGAGGTACATCAAAGATTTCAAAACTTGGTTTTGTAATGGCTATGTTATTATTTATATTCTGCCAATTTGCTAATGCATCAGCTAGGGTTGATCAGCCAAGGTATGCAATAGAGAAGATAAATAAGACTTCGGCAATATATTTAGACCCAATGGGGGATGTTGAAATTGTAGCCTCCTCTTGGAATTTAATAATATTTTATAATATGGACGTTTACTTCGAAATGCTTAAAAAAGGTAAAGAATTAATACCAAAAATGAGGGTAATTTGCGAACGACTTCATTGTTTTGAGGATCAATGCCTTTTAGTTCTGAGTAACACGGAAAGGCAGATCTCAGACATAGGAGAAAATAATAAACTTTTTATGGCTCAGGGAAAATCAAGAAGTAAACGTACTCCATTTGGTTTTATGGGATCGCTTTATCACATTCTATTTGGAATAATGGATGAAGACGACAGGATACAAATGGAGGATAATATGAAAAACTTATTAAGCAATCAGCATAGCCTTAACGAGTTAAGTAGGAAACAAACTTCCTTAGTCGATTCTACGACTAACATTTTAAAGAAAACGACGGATGAAGTTAACTCAAATTTTAAAGGAATGAACGAAAGAATTAAGAATTTGACGGCGGTATTGCAAGAATCATATTATGTGTACAAAGAGTCTATCGACTTTTTTATGATAACCAAACAGCTAAGTAACATTATAGATGAATGCGAGAAAATTCAATATAGTATCATAAGCCTCTTAATAGACATAAATCGTGGCCGACTTAATACAAACATATTAAGACCTAGTCAGCAAAAAAGTGAAATTTCCAGAATAAAAGACAGTTTGTCTGAAAATTTAGTCTTGTCAGGGAAAAGAACAGGCACAGAATTAAAGGAGATTTATACATTATTGACGGCTAGAGGTTTATTTGTGGATAAAAAATTAATAATTAATGCCAAAATACGATTGTTTGGTAGACATGCTTCAGTACTTTATAAAATTATCCCAGTTCCGGTAAAACTGGACGACCGCATGATTACAGTGCACGTAGATTCTCAGTACTTGATTTATAATTTTGAGATCGATGCATATCATCTTATGGCAGAATCTACTATTAATAAATGTCAAAGATGGCAGTCGAATAAAAGAGTTTGCGAGGGAAGTTGGCCTTGGAGTAGTGCTAACGACAACAGTTGTGAGATCAAACCCCTCAAACCAAATAAGGCATCGAACTGCAGGTGTAAATCGATTGTTGAGAGTAAGTCATATTGGGTTGAGTTGAAAAGAAAAGTAGTTGGCTTTTTAAAGTTCAAAACAATTCTAAGGCTAGAATTCAGTGTACCAATTCAAAAATAGAGATAATAGATTTACCTGAACAAGGAATAATGACTTTGAGGTCAGATTGTACTGCTCGAACTGATGATAAAATATTAGTTGCTCAACACAGTATTCAGTTAGAAGATCAGGGAACATTAGCGTTGTCTTACATTGGGGAAGTTAACGAGATACCCAAGATTATTTGGAACCCGCTCGACATGCCATTAATCAACCATACGGACGAAATCAATCGTTTGTCAAAGGAAATTCAATATTTAAAAACTCACAAGCTAGAATTGAGGGAATTAGACTTTCACCATTTAACTGGACATGCATCCCTAATTTTAGCAATTGTAATAATAATTATATTAGTTGTATATTTTATAAGGAAAATAAAAATACGAAGGCAGTTACAAGCCATATCATTACCCAGCCGTATGCTTAATATATAAATTTGTAGATACAATAAATCAATGATATAAAAATGTTTTATGTTAAAAAAAATAAATAAATTCTCTATAATGTTAAAACACAATAATTACAAGCCGTGAAGGGGTGTCAAAATTATTATGCAAAATAAAATATATCGAATTAATACAGTCCACTAATTTTGTATTGCAATATTTTTGAGAATAAATAAAATAAATTGTAATTATCACAGACACCTAACCTTGCCGGCCCTTGCCAGAATGTTCAGACGAACACTAATAAAAATAAAATATAATACTTTATGAGCTCTGTGCATGTCATGTGACAGTTGTAAATCGATCCAGAGCCATAAACTATGATCTGTAATTGTAGACCCTACAGGGGAGCGGTGCTAGCACTTGTAATCTGTAAGTGCAGGCCACTTGAGCCAAACCGAAGACAATCACTTGAGATGCTTCTCACACTGCGCCAAAGGTTCCTGTGCGGGGATCAAATGATAACTCTCCCGCGCAGGCAGACGCGGCCTCTGCGTAGGCCACAGATAAGACCAGAATAAGAATTTCATGTTAGTTTCCTAAGCAGGGAATTAGAAAATAAAATTCAGTTTTAATACAGAACTCAACGGAAAAGGTTGTTTTATTAATTCATCCCTTTCACAAGCCAATAGTCAGTAGTTGCCATTTTGCGGATCTGGACGATCCCACGTGAAACCGCGCTCTCGACATAGACTTTGATAAAGTGAGTTAGTGTCACCAATATAAAACCTTTTCTTATTCACGGTGTGGTCCCTCAGAGTGCCAGGGGACTCGTCGAAAGGGCCCGGCAACATATTTTCTTGGAGGAGGACGAACGTGGAAGGAGTGGAAATTTCCGTCGTTCATAACCTCGGTGGAACCCGTTCCTGCACATTACGTGGAGCAAACTTCCCCAGCGGTAATAGCGCTCAACAGCCCCGCAATCCCGCCACCTCCAGAGTACGCCGGTGAGTCTGTTCCAAGTGGGGGCTTCCTGGCCACCTATATCCTCCCGTGAATCCACGCACCGTCACTCCACGCTCTGGCACCAGTCCACAGACGACCACCCGGCCCTTGTTTCGAAGACGGCGGGAACCATGTTTTTTTTTCTCGACACTAACCGCCATCGGGCTGACTTAGGCAGACCTGGATATATCAAAAACTAGGTCGTTGGAATCCCGAGAAGTGAGGGACCCACTTTAGTCGAGACACTTGCCTAAAGTAATGCCATGCACGTCCTTCCTTGTCCCTTGGAGCTTCTCAGGATTAGGTGTCCTTTAAAGGTGCAATAGTCGTAATCCCGCCCGCGCGGAGTTTAGTTTCCGCGGCGACTAGAGCGCCCTGACCTTTACCGGCGCTAACACTGTGACCCCAAACCTCAATCATCAGCACGGTGGTACGTTTGAAAGAACCCTTATTTAGAGAAGCATCCTATTGGATACCCGTAAGAGAAGATAAATGTAATCATTAAATGTTAGTTTAAAAAATGAAAATGGTGTGAGTGCTATAAGTGTTGGGGGAGATAGGCCGGTCGTAGACCGCCTGGAAGGAATTCCGGCCGAAGATGAAGGGTAGTGCCTCCCTCGCATTACTTGAGGCACCAGTGGGGGTGGGTGCGCTGTGGCAACTACATCTAATGCCACATTTCCGTCATAACGTCTACGAGTTATAAGTTTGCCTGGTTTTGTGTATTTTGTTAGAGATAAGTGTAGGAGTGTGCGGTGAGACGTCGATGAATATCGATGATTAGTGTTGGTGAACTGCGGGACAATGGTGGAACTCCGGCCTGAGGATTCTGGGAGCTAGCCGGAGCTGTCCCGAAAAGATTCTATACCTTAGCAGTTCCGTAACACTAACACCCAGCACAAGTTGCTGGCCCAATTCCGAATTATATTTTCTCGGCTATTGACGGCATGAGGTATTATCTTCATTGGTCAATTTCCGCGATCTTTTTGCGGCAATTTACATTAACAATCCCAGTCTAACTCCGGTCGAGAAGATGTTCCACATAAAAACCAAGACACGGATGGTTACATTCAATTATATAGATATATTTGGATTAATTATATATAGTGACTTTATTGCCTCCGCTCAGGAAGACTTCTTCTTCTTCTAACAAGACTGCGGTGTGGGAATTTCTCAACAGTTACAACTAAAGATAAGATAACATATTTATGTTTGTATGTATGTACGTTACATTATTTCAATACCCGAGTCAGAACATCGCTTGACAAAAATAACATTTATGCATACATACATCTACCACTCGGTGTTTCATATTCCATCGCTCCAATTTCGTCGGTAAAGAGCCAATAGTAAATAGACGGAAATAAATCATTTTATTCGATAGAAAAAAAAAATAAACACGTGAATAATTTATAAATTACACGTTCTGTATAAGAAATTAGTTTAGTATTAATTGAAAATGGAAGAATACGCTCGGGAACCATGTCCATTTAGAATTGTCGACGATTGTGGGGGGGCTTTTGCTATGGGTTGCATCGGTGGCGGCGTATTTCAAGCAATCAAAGGATTTCGTAATGCACCTTCTGGCATGAATAGGAGATTGGTAGGAAATATATTACTTTAATTAAATGTAAAATATTTAACACTGTAGTTACGTCAGTCGTTACTCAATATGGGCAAACATTCGATTTTAGTTCAAGTTAATTTAATTTATTTATTCATTAAAAATATGTTTTTTTTCAGATCGGAAGTATAATTGCTGTAAAAACTCGTTCCCCTGTTATAGCAGGAAATTTTGCAGTGTGGGGCGGTATGTTTAGTACTATTGACTGCACACTTGTCCACTTTCGGAAAAAAGAAGATCCATGGAACTCAATAATAAGCGGTGCAGCAACTGGAGGGATATTAGCTGCGAGAAATGGTGCGGTTTGTAAAAGTTTTACTACAATTGGTTCTATTACGTTTACCGTTACAGTCGGCACATAATTTATTCGTACACCCATGAGTTGCAAGTTTATTCCTTAATATCTCGAGAAATACGTAACGGAAATGAAAATGTAATATCTCAAATGAAAGATATGCATTTCGAGCATATATTTTAATCATAATATTAACAATTTTTAACTTAAATACTAGATAATTTTCTTAAAAAGGCAAAAAAAATACGCACAAAAATTATTCGTACACTTCATAAAATGTTGAAAAAAAAACAATTCCAAAGATTTAAGGATTTTAACCTCTAGTGGGTCCTTCGTTGGCCTTAATGGGAGCTTGTTGCCCATCTCGTCAGCATCAATTGAATCCCATTCATGTATTAATGCGGATTTTAAGGATTGCTTCAAGGATATGTTGTCCTTTTCTGGACGATATCCCATAAATGTTCAAATCTGGTGATTGTAGAGCCGGTTTTTGCTCCTTGCAGTGATATAAAAGCCACTCTTGCACTAAACACGACAAATATTTCGGGTCGTTATCTTATTGAAATACGAATGACACTGGATTCTGTCCAAGTTGAAGGGCACTTGGAATTAAATTTTGGCCTAAAATGTCGTTATACATAAATTTATTATTTTTATCTTCCATAAAGACCATTCGACCCACTCCACCTGCAGCTATACACCCATAAACCATCACATTCTTGCCAACGTGCTTAAAAGTGGGTATCAAGTTTTTTCCTTCATGGCTTCATTTGCCTTTTGACATACTTTAAAAGGACTGCCGTGTTCAAATTTTTTAATTTTTGATTTGTCAATAAATATAACGTTTTCGCAAAAAAAGTTCCGGCGTGTATGCACTTTTGCGATCTCCAAATGCATATTTTGTTATAATCAGAAATCAATGGGTTTTTTCGAACAACTCTACCATGTATACCAGCATTGTGCTGGGTGTTCCGGAAGGTTTGGGAACAAAGTTTTATTCCTGAAGGCTTCCCTAGGGTTTTAAGAATTGTTGTAGATGTTATTCTGGGATTTTGTAATGGTATATTTATTTTATGCTCCTCCCGTGGTGTCAATATGTGGTTCCTTTCAGATTTTCTATGTTCGACTACAAATTTTCCAGTGTTCACGTATTTTTTTTATAAAACTTTGCATCGTGGAAAGGTGACTTGACAATATTTCTACCAATTTTCGGTTAATTGCGGTTCGCTAAATATAATATATACTCGTAGAGTAAAAGGGTATACTAGATTCGTTGAAAAGTATGTATTAGGTAGAAGGAAGCGTTTCCCCCTATAAAGTATACAGTGTCGAACTAAAATATTGGCACAGAAGGCTTCATGAACTTTAAGGGACGATTTCTCCCCTTAAAATTTAGATATTTAAATAAACAAAAAATGTATACATATAATATTATAAAAACATAACACGAAAATATTTATTTCAACTTTTTACCTTCAATGGTTGATTTTTAAAAATTAAATAACATAAATAGGAGGTTAATTTGCCTGAACAAATTTATTGGCACACTTATTAAAAAACTTAAAAATAAATGAAAATAACTAAAATTAATACTTAGTGGGTAAGCCATTTTGTTTTATAAAGGCTTCCAACAGTCTTGGCATCGAAGAAAAGAAATTTTGGGTTGTTTCTGCCCCAATATTCTGCCCATTTTCTATTAGAGCCACCTTCAGCCCGGGATTTGTTTTTATCGCGCGTTTTTAAACGCGGCTGTCCAGCTCTTCCCACAAATCTTCAATGGGATTTAGGAGGATCCGGCAGAGTATGTTGGACGTTATGTGCGACCCACATACGCACATCATAAGCAAAAACAAAATATTTTTTTTGTATTTAGTTTTGCCACTCTTAAGAAAAATGGCCGTTAGCAATGATATCACATTTGACGAAATTTTTGCACAGCCTTTAATTACATGATTAAAAAAACCCAAATCTAAAAAGATATTCTGCTTCGATGGACAAACAATGTTATACAAAGTCATACGAAGACATAATCGGCTTGTGGGCGTTAGAGTGGGTGTGGCGAGACGCAGAGAAAATAATATTCTTTGGTGATATCATTGGAAACTGCTTGCTTAATCCAAATTTGGTATCACTTGATATACGCATTGCGTTTATTATTAATCCCAAAATTCTATCACTTGTAGTGACCGAGATCTTGGCGTTTCTACAAAAAGTGAATGGCAGAAGATTGTACCACTTTGAGATGCGTAAGCATCTAAAAAATAATCATTAGCTCCAAATTTCAAATTCTTAGTTTCAGAGATCCCAGAAATTTAGTTTTTCGTGTTTTGTGGGCGTTGTTCTGGTCGTGGCCGGATTGACTGCATTGGCATCTCTAGCTGTTTTTGTTTGTTTGTTGTTAATTTTATGTTTGAAACACATGCTTATAATGTTTCATATAAGATTTAACATTTTAATTCCCGTTACTATTCGAGATATAAAGAATAAGCTAAAATCTCATGGGTGTACGGATAAATTGTGTGCTGACTGTACATACTCAGTGCCAACCTGATAGCTCTTATAGATTCGAGATCAATCGGACGAACATGGATAAATCGGCTCGGCTATTGATCCTAATGCAGAATTTATATAATTTATATGGCTAGAAACGCTTTTTTTACCATGAAACAAAGTTTTCATTGAATAAAATGTTTTACTTTTCGAATAACTTGTATACATATAACGGGTAAAACAAACGCTTTAGAATACGCTCCCTAATGTGTTCTTTATTCCTTTATCTCATTCGATTCAGTCTGCCACTGTATTCTTCTTGTTACCAAGATTGAAGAGAACCATAATATTACGTTTTTTTGCGATGACTCCCAAATTGAATACCGCCACCCAAATGAATCGTATCGGTAACAGTTTTGAATATAAAAATTTATATACCTTAATTATTCCGGTAGACCTCAATTTTGCCTGTACAATAAGTTTGTTTGTTTTCAGTTCCCAATTTATTTAAATTTTTGAAATTTTTTGAAATTTTTTTTATTAATAGCCGAATCTGTTTTGCCAAGTCCGCCTGCCCTGTTTGAATGCATCCTCGACCTTTCGGCTTTGCATACTTACGGTCATATTCTTAAGAAGACTGACAAGGTTTTTAGCTTACTACTGACTACTTGGTGGTTGCATATCCTGTTGATTCTCTTTGTCTAAAATTTCCTGCCCAACTTTTCCCTAATCTAAACGGATTACTGTTAACTGTTTCCGAAACCTTTCGAACGTGTCAGATACTCTCTAAGGCAGCCAATGCCGGCTTGGACGTTAGTAATGCTGATTTTAACTGTCCTGAACCTATTGTTTGCTGACTGACCCCCTTTCTGAATATTCTGTTGTTTTCTCTGTTTGCTCTCTTTATACCAACCATGTTTAATATAAAACCATCGGTCCTATTCCTTACAATGTTTTCATTTTGAATTTAGACTGTACCATAATTATTAGAGTCCGTAAACTCATTGTGATTGGTTTTTTCTCGCACAAAATCGGTCTGATTACGCTGAAGTCCATTTCAAATCGATCAATTTCTTTAGCAGGTGGATTTGTTTTTATCGCGCGTTTTTAAACGCGGCTGTCCAGCTCTTCCCACAAATCTTCAATGGGATTTAGGAGGATCCGGCAGAGTATGTTGGACGTTATGTGCGACCCACATACGCACATCATAAGCAAAAACAAAATATTTTTTTTGTATTTAGTTTTGCCACTCTTAAGAAAAATGGCCGTTAGCAATGATATCACATTTGACGAAATTTTTGCACAGCCTTTAATTACATGATTAAAAAAACCCAAATCTAAAAAGATATTCTGCTTCGATGGACAAACAATGTTATACAAAGTCATACGAAGACATAATCGGCTTGTGGGCGTTAGAGTGGGTGTGGCGAGACGCAGAGAAAATAATATTCTTTGGTGATATCATTGGAAACTGCTTGCTTAATCCAAATTTGGTATCACTTGATATACGCATTGCGTTTACTGTTAACTGTTTCCGAAACCTTTCGAACGTGTCAGATACTCTCTAAGGCAGCCAATGCCGGCTTGGACGTTAGTAATGCTGATTTTAACTGTCCTGAACCTATTGTTTGCTGACTGACCCCCTTTCTGAATATTCTGTTGTTTTCTCTGTTTGCTCTCTTTATACCAACCATGTTTAATATAAAACCATCGGTCCTATTCCTTACAATGTTTTCATTTTGAATTTAGACTGTACCATAATTATTAGAGTCCGTAAACTCATTGTGATTGGTTTTTTCTCGCACAAAAATCGGTCTGATTACGCTGAAGTCCATTTCAAATCGATCAATTTCTTTAGCAGGTGGCATCGTTTCCCATGACCGGAATTTGCCTCCTTGTCCTTTATTTTAAACAGGGAGGAAGGGGCGTTTCGTTGAAGTCGGGTATGGCCGCTGAGCCTGTTGAGCTGTCTCGCTAGTAGGTTTGGGTGTGATGATAATCTTGTTTTGTAGTTAACTTTGATACCCGTTATTCGTACAGTAAAAGGGTATACTAGATTCGTTGAAAAGTATGTAAAAGATAGAAGGAAGCGTTTTGGACCCTGTAAAGTAAATACATATGTATATTCTTGCCATGTCCGTCCGTCTGTCCGTATGAACGCTGAGATCTCAGGAACCATAAGAGATGAATACGCAGCGCAAGTTTATTTCCGCATCCGGCCACGCCCCCCTTAACGTCAACAAATCACGAAAAACTAAAATTGCCTAAATCTCAGGAACTATTAGAGCTAGAAATTCATTATGTATAATGGACGATATCCCATAAATGTTCAAATCTGGTGATTGTAGAGCCGGTTTTTGCTCCTTGCAGTGATATAAAAGCCACTCTTGCACTAAACACGACAAATATTTCGGGTCGTTATCTTATTGAAATACGAAAGACGCTGGATTCTGTCCAAGTTGAAGGGCACTTGGAATTAAATTTTGGCCTAAAATGTCGTTATACATAAATTTATTATTTTTATCTTCCATAAAGACCATTCGACCCACTCCACCTGCAGCTATACACCCATAAACCATCACATTCTTGCCA